GTGTGTGTGTGTGTGTGTGTTTGTGTGAGAGTGAGTGTATGGTACATGTATCAGTAACCCAGATGCTTGATATGTACCAATCTGATTTCGTGTTTGTAACTAATTGAAGACTGTCATCTTCCTCAGCCTACTGCAGCTACAACAATAAACGATATAGCCAGAACGAATACTTTGAAGACGGCTGCAACAAGAAATGCACTTGTGTTGATGCCAATGCCGGACACATCGAATGCAGAGATTAGTCAGTATCGATTTGATAGTTATGTTCTTCGAACAAATTTACGATATTATTTATTGTTATAAGCAAAAGTAGTATTCGATGTTGCAAGATGCTGCATTCTCTTTAAAAAGAAATCCAATTATTTGAAAATCTTTTAGCTTGTATAGGTGTATAAGCGGACAAACGTGGGCTTCTTTTGTTTCTCAAAAGGAATTTCTGTAAGCATTCTTTGCTCCTACTGTGTGCATGCTGGATGAATCTGTGAAAATAGTACCAAGCGTGCAATAATATGAATGATCTTCTTCGGTATTTATGAGATAAAAACATTTAATTTTTTAATGCGCTTCAAGTAGGGGCTTAATTATCTTGTGCCCTACAAACATTGATTTTGATCGAATTGTTTAATCATGACTAAATAAGCCGCAAGATATACCTCTTGTTACTCTGCAAGCATTATTTCTTCAGTAATTTTGGACTACTTCTGATTCGTTTGTCCTCTGGCATACATATTCAGGAGTCTGCTAAAGTACTGTGATAGTCACAATGAATTTTACCCTTTTACATTGAAAATTTAAAAAGATTTTTCCCCTTAAAAACTCCTTTAAAAATATGATAAATGATGTTGTTCGAAAAAATGAAGGTTTAGATGCCCTATCAATACTAATAGGTTATTTAAGAGTTTAAGAGGCGGAACCTCCGAATTTAAAGACCGTCTCCGATACGACCGAGCTAAATTGGTCGAGAGCCCTGAAAACTCCCCAAAACGACCCACTTTCAACAACGCCTAGTCAAGGATTCGAACGAGGGCCATCCACTCTGGAGTCTAGCATGATACCAAATGAGCCGAAGGAGCGCCCCGAGGTTTTTAAAAGAATTGGAGTCACATTCTTCAAGTCGAACTATTCGTTTATAAACTAATAGCAAAAACAAAGAGAGAGAGAGAGAGAGAGAGAGAGAGAGAGAAAGAGAGAGAGTGAGAGAGAGAGTGAGAGAGAGATAGAGAGATAGAT